GTGCTGTTTCCCCTCCGCCGTGGGGAGAGGCAGGGGAAGGTTTCTAGCCTAGCTGGAGAGGCGCGGGCTTCAAAGCGCGCGTCTGTTTGCCCGTGGAAGGCTGTGTTTGCCTCGGTGGGGCTGTGCGCTTCTAGGAACTGCAGAGCCGCCTGGGGGGCCTGCGGCCGCCTGCCTCCCTAGCCGCGGGGAAGCCGTGCCTCGGCCTTCCCAGGGACAGGAGAAGAGCTGGGGATTTCTGGCGCCGCTGTCTTCAGCCGGGAGTCCGAGCACTTTCCAGAAAATGCAACGTACTTACTGACAAGGGTGTTGCACAGAAAGCGTGTCTAAATTCCTTCCTTTTCATCAGAAACCAAAGACAACTTGGCGGTTAGAGACGGGCCTTGTTTTTCACTGGGTGCTGGTGACTGCAAGCCCGGTGAGCTGGAGCTGGGCAAACGGTTAGCCCAAGACTAAATATTCAGCAGCTTCAGTTCAACGGAAATGTTTGTGCCTTTACTGCAGGCTGAAGCTCACTGAACTACAAATTGGATGTTAGTTCTTCTTGGTGGGGTTATCTAGGTCATTTTAAGTTGCTTTAAGCAGCTTTAAGGCGATTTGTCTTAGGTTGACTGTGGGGCTTTTGCGTGTGACTTAGTAAGTTACAGTAGCTCTCTTCTCTGTGGTGATAACTTCTCTTTGCTTCTGTTTTTAACAGAAGGAGTTAAATGGGAGTCAAAACCTATGATGGAAAAAACAAACAGCACAAAGACATAAACATTATTTGCTGCAGTGAAAACCTAACGAGCTTTGTTAAGAAGAAGTTGTTTACTGCCTTACATGTACGCAATACAGCAAGCATGCTTCACATTGAAAGCAGTGCAGAAAGAAGCAGCTCTGTAACAATTCTTGTTGTGATTCAGACTTGATCTTTCATCTCCTCCTTTCTCTGTGAATTTCACAAACTAAAGAAGCAGGAAGTTGTGGAATGAGGCAGCAAATGTGGGAGCTGACCAAAATGTTTGACTTCTAGGACGATCGTATGTGATTAGTTTTTCATGAAACAGCAGCACTTGGAGAGCTGCTTCATACAATTCAAGCACCTATCCTAGTACTTGCAGAGCCTTACTACAGAAGGCATAGATAAAATGATGTGAACTTATGGGCATACAAAGGGATAAAAGTTCATTTAAAAAAAAAAAAAATCTGACCCATAATTTCTCTTTCTGCCAACTACTAACAGAGATAGATTCAATCCCCGGGTGTGCTGTATAAAGATAATTAGATAGTTTGGGGAGAGGGGGAAATCAGAGGACCCAAAACCCTTGTATATGTGGTTTTATAATTGCTTGGATTCTCAATTAGGTCACACCATCCTTTTCTCTAAGGGTAGATTCAGAGGAGCCATCAAACTTTTTTTCTGAGCCAAACAATGGGCTCATTATAGAGACAAGCCAAAAGCAACTATTGGAAATAAATAAAAAATAGATTTCTTATTGCTGTATTCAGAAATATTCTTGGTAGCTCATAAGTGAGGCTTTTGTACACAGAGAAATGACTTAGGTGTTACAGCATCAGTTTTGAATCTAGATGCAGTATTTCATACTTTTTTTCTTTGTCAACACAATGAATAGCTTTAAAGTTTTTTCCATGTGTATATTTCAGATATGCTGCAGTTCCACCTGGACACTGAATGTCTCATGATCTTTTTTCTGAACGATCTGAATTTTCTGACCAAAACTCTTACTTCGTACATTGTGCAACGTACTGTGTCTTTGGCTGTCAGGCTCCCCGTCTTATTGAAATGTACTGTCTTATTGTATAGTTTGCCAAGAACTCTGCGAAAATAAAAATTCAAATTTATTTTGAGTACTGATCTTAATTGTCTGGATTTGTTTAGGTCTGCTGACTTGGGTGATAACCTGCTGACTAGGCCTGGACAACCCACAGTTGCTCGAATACCTCCACCTATTTTGCCAAGACCATCACAGCAAACAGGAAGCAGTAGTCTGAGCACTTTCAGGCCAGCGTATAGTAGTTCTTTTTCTCCAGGCTATGGCTCATATGGAACCTCTTTTTACGGAAGCTATAGTCCTTACGGCTATGGATATGGTGGCTTGGGTTATAACCGCTTTCGTACAGATGATATCCCTCCCAGCAGGTTTGTTAATGAAGAGAGCAGCAGAGGTGCATTTCAGTCCATTGAAAGTATTGTGCATGCATTTGCCTCGGTCAGCATGATGATGGATGCTACCTTTTCAGCTGTGTACAACAGTTTCAGAGCTGTGTTGGATGTAGCCAATCACTTCTCCCGCCTCAAAATACACTTCACAAAGGTGTTTTCAGCTTTTGCTTTAGTGAGAACGATAAGATACCTTTATCAACGTCTACAGCGATTACTAGGTCTACGGAAGAGCTCTGAGAATGAGGATTTGTGGGCTGAAAGTGAGGGGACGGTGGCTCGTGCTGGCGTTGAAGACAAGGCAGCTAGCTCTGCAAAATCCTGGCCTATTTTCTTGTTCTTTGCTGTTATACTGGGAGGTCCCTATCTGATTTGGAAGCTGCTTTCTACGTACAGCGACGAAGAGACAGGTAAAGATGATCTGCAGCACAGGAGAAGCAGGGAGCGTGGAAAGCATTGTCCAGTTTATTATCGCATGAATAGCTATTAATTTTATATTACAGTAATAAAATGTAATAGATATGGGGGCACAATACTGAGTCTTAGACACATGATACACGTAGCAGCCTATTTACATAGCCTAATGTTAAGATGGAGTTTCACAGAAGGCTCTGTATGATTCCAAAATAGTGGTTCTGCTGTTTCCTTTTTACTACATGTAGCAATTGCAGAAATATGCGCTGGTGGGACCAAGAATTGCTTTTGTTTGTTACTCCTCTCAGTTATCTGTCAGAGAAGTTAAGGTGTTATATTCATTTTCCTTTTTTTTTTCTTTTTTTTGGAAACAGTATCTAGTAACTGGGCAAGTGGAGAAGATGATCATGTAGTTGGAAGAGCAGAATATGACTTCAGTGCTCTTTCAGAAGAAGAAATTTCTTTCCGTGCTGGTGACATGCTAAAATTAGCACCCAAAGGTAAACTTTTAATTTGTATTTATTTTCTAATCGTATGTGAAGTCAGTCATATTGTTAAGGTCAGAACATGACAAAAACGCACGTTATACCCAACTCCTCATCCCCAGTGACTTTTTTTTTTTTTTTACTAGTTATTACATGCATTGTAATAAAACTTATTGAGTAGTTCTGTTCAGTTTCCCTAAAATATAAATGGCCTTGTGATTTATCCAGGGAGTGCCCTGTGGTTGCTCACGCAGTTACCTCCTCATCGCACATGCTGCACAACTGTTAAAATCCTCAGGGACTTGTAATATTGTGGTGTCGTCATTATCAGAACAATTTGCACACCAATGTGGATCCTAGTGATTCTCTTAGGAAATAATATGTACTGACCTTTTACCACAGTTATTTTGTGCATGTGATGTCTTGGTGTGTCATCTACCTTCTGATGTGCTTGTGCTTCAGCTGCAATGTATTTTGCATTGTTTTTGTAACTTGATGCATTTACATTTTCTTCTTCAGAACAGCAACCCAAAATCCGCGGTTGGCTTTTGGCTAGTTACGATGGCCAAACAACAGGACTTGTGCCAGCTAATTACATCAAAATACTGGGCAAAAGAAGAGGTAGAAAAACAGTGGACCTGGAAAGGATTGCAGAGCAACAGTCAGTCCTTACCAACGCATCTGCTAAAGGATCCACTGCTGCTGTGACTTTAGAGGAGCAGGAAGCTGCTTTTGATTCTGTTTTTGCTGGAACGAATAAAGTTCCTGTTGCGTCTGATTCCACTGTGAGCAGTGGAGAGAAACGGGAACTCTAATGCACTTTGATCAGCTCAATAACAGAACAATGTTTTACTGATAAAACTTTGGATATGTTGGAAATCTGTATGGTAGTGGAACACTGATGGGTCTGTACCAGTTACTGCTGCCACTGACTGGTGAAGGGACAGAGAAATGATTTGCTCAAACTTATAATATTTATTTTTGATTCACCTAAGGCTGTATATTAGTGACTCTACCCAATCACCTGGCAGCAATGAAAAGATCTTGAGCCAAGGAGAACTGAGGTATTTCTAACAAAGCAAACAAAAAAGAGGCATTGGCAACCTGTTCTTATTAAGTGGGCAGACTGTCAATGAAATCTGGAGATTAATGTCCAGTCTTCATCAGAATGTCAGCTTAACAAGAGGCCTCTGTAAAAGATATGCAAATTTCTGTAAGAGGGTCCCCAAAAGTGAAGGTTTAGGACTCTAAAATATTAATCATACAGTGTTTTCTCTCAAAAAGAGGAACAATTTAAAGAGATTTAGGTGACACAATCAAAGCATTAAAAGCTCTCAGTTGCTTGCTTTGGTAAGAAGTTGGGCTTCTGTTATAAAGACCTTAGCTCTTTTTTTATTTAAAAAAAAAAAAAGAAAAAGACTCTTTTTCTTATGAGAAAGAAGGGGCGGGGGAAGAGTGCAAATTACAGAAGAAAAGCAGGGAAGCTTCAACAGTAGGTCTAACCATCCTCTTCTCCTCATTAAAAGAGCATTAGAATAAAGTGCATCCACTAGTCAAGTACTTTCCAGGGCACTTATTAATTGTTACTCCCTTTTGTGACCAGCAAACTAACTTTATCATACTAGTCATGCATTATAGCCTGCTAACTGCCCAACAATAGCCTATCAACTACCATCTGCATGTCATTTTTCTTCTGTTTTCTTCATGAATGTCAAAAGATCTAGCCTGCATTTTAGTGCAGCAGGAA